TAAACATAACCTTGTATTAGGCATTAAGTACTCTACCAACAATTTAAAGTATACAGAAGGGACTTGGGGTGTGGCTCAGAGGTAGAATGCTTATCTAGCATGTGCGAGGTCCCTGGGTTCCCTCCCAGCGCTGCCGGAAGAATTAATAAAACAGGATACGGAAGGGCATGTGTAAACTGCTTATACAGATGTTGTGTACACAGGGATTTACGCTTCGGTGCACCTTGGTATGCATGAGTATGCTGGAACTCATCCCCAAGGGCATTGAGGCATAACTTAAATCCTTCCGCAGCAAAGGTTGAGGGTTATCTGGGAGCCATGATCTCTCTACCTCACTCAGATAAGGCCCCATATGGGTACCTGGAACCCCTTCCTTCTCTGTGTGCCAGACTCCCACACCTATTACTCCTGCTGGGCTCCGCTGATACAGCCTAACTAACCCACACTGAACTCCCCCAATTCCCCCAGCACATCTTGAGATGGCATTATCACATCCCCAGTGCCCCTGTCCCTGAACCCACAAGCTCCACCCCTTTTCCTGCCACTTCCCGGCCAGTCCATCAGCGTGTTCTTCAGCCCCCATCAGAGCTGCACACCACCTGGTTCCCATCTGCCCCATTCCCTGCTGGGCTGTTCACACCTCCTGCCTGGGTTACTGCAGAGCCTACACTTGACTGAGGGGGCTCCCCATTCTAACTATGGTTAGAATCTAGAAATGTCCCCAAAGGCTTATTGTGTAGACTGAAGTTTCTCGTTCCCATCCGGTCCCACCCGGGCAGCAGTTGTTTTTATAAAATAATCACTCAGAGGCTTAATGTTATTTACAAACTGTTTGGTCTTTGGTTCAGGCTTATCGCTAGCTAGCTCTAACATCTTAAATTAACCCATTTCTATAGAACGATGTGTTGCCACGTGTCTTGTGGTTTTACTTCTGTTCTATTACATCTTGCTCCCCCTGGCAACTTGCAGCAGTGTCTCCCCGACTCCATCTTTCTTTTTTCTTTTCTTGTTCTGTTTTGTTTTGTTTTTCAAGACAGGGTTTCTCCATGTAGTTTTGATGCCTGTCCTGGAACTCACTCTGTAGCCCAGGCTGGCCTCAAACTCACAGAGATCTGCCTGCCTCTGCCTCCTGAGTGCTGGGATTAAAGGCGTGCACCACCACCGCCCAGCCTGACCGCACCTTTCTTCTCCCTGTATCTCTCTTGGATTTCCCACCTGGCTATAACCTGTGCTGCCATAGGCCAAAACAGCTTCTTTATTTAACCAATAGCAGCAACACATATTCACAGTGTACAGAAAGACCATCCCACAGCACTTATTGTTAACTCTTGAGCCTCAGAGGCAGCACTTTGAGAAACGATTGATTCATGAGTTTTAATATTCTGACCTGTAAGCCGGGCGGTGGTGGCGCATGCCTTTAATCCCAGCACTCGGGAGGCAGAGCCAGGCAGATCTCTGTGAGTTCAAGGCCAGCCTGGGCTACCAAGTGAGTTCCAGGAAAGGCACAAAGCTACACAGAGAAACCCTGTCTCGAAAAACCAAAAAAAAAAAAAACCAATATTCTGACCTGCCCCCTTGAAATCCCGCCCCTTGGGGGCTGCCCTGCATCCTGACATAAAAGCCTCATTTTAAGGAAAAACTCCTCCCCTCCCTCTCTTCTGAACTCTCTCTCCCCATCCCCACAAGGTGTGCACACCTCCGCTTTCTCTCCCCTCTCTTTCTTCCTTGTCTCCCTCTTCCTGTCTTTCTCTTCATCAGTTATAATAAACTCTTCATGTGGATGCAGCGTCTGGGTGTGAATGACTTTCCACGGGTCACCACCACTGCATCTGCCCAGCATGTTTTCCCCCACGCGTGGGATACCCTGGCTTGGCCGCTGGGGGTTCTCCACTGGTGCAAATTCCTAGCAATGAGGCTCTGACCTTACGGATGGACTGATCCGTTGGACTGATAACGGGATGGGCTACTGGGACTCAATATTGGAAGGGAGATGTCGTTGAAAGGAGTAGACCTCTGGGGTACATCCTGTCCCTGGTATCTGTCTCTCTCCCCCTTTCTCCCCTCTCTCTCACCCGATCCTTTTTTGCCACCGTGAGGTAGCATCCTCACTCCACCTCGCCCTCTCTGTCATGACATTCTTCCTCATCCCGTGGGAGCCAGGTGACCATGGGCTAAGACACTGAACAGCCAAACTAAAAATTTCGTCTTTTTAGTTGACCCCTCAGGTATCTCATTATTGCAACAGAAAGCTCCATGATACACCATCCTCCACAGGGCAGCCAAGCCGGCTTTGTCAAGCTTACCTTCTACCTGAAACTATTCCACGGTCGGCTATCACATTCAGAATAAAAGCCACTGTACCACAGTGGAAGGCCTCCAGGCCTCTGGCCCACGGACCTTGTTTATCTCAACTCTTTCGACCATTAGGCCACGCCCTCTTGCTGACCTTGAGGGTGCAGAACACTGGCAAAGTGCGGTCTCTGCATCGTTTCTGCACAGAACAGGTGTCCAGTGAATAGTGAACCAGTGGCTGCCATTGCCAGTTTCCCTCTTCCCCTTGCATTCTGTGTGTGTTGGGGGGCGGGGGGGAGGAACGGGAGGGGGTGGCATAGAAATGAATCTGACCCCTTCTTGCCCTCCAGTGGCTCAGTCTGGGTCCACACCCACCAGTGGACCATCACAAGCCTGTGCAGGATTTTTGTAATAAGCTGCCACACACAGGGTGGCTGATGAAAGACAGAAATCTACTTCTTATGGTTTTGGAAGCTGAGATCAGGGTGACTGTACGACCCGGTTGTTTTGAGACTCAGTCCTTAAATCCTTTCATGACAGGGGCTCTCAGGACTGGGGCTTACATGCCCCCTACCCCACCCCTGACACCACGTCCTTTTTTCTCAATAGTTCTCTCTTGTAGCCCAGGTTGTCCTCAAACTCACTATGTTGACCAAGACAATTTTGAACTCTTCAGCTTCCTGCCTCTTCTTCCTGAGCACCGGGATTTCAAGCATGTGTCACCACGCCAACTCTGGGCTCTTTTAGAAGGACATTGATCCCAGTGGTGAGGACCCCAACTTCAACAGCAATCATTCCAAAAATTCCAAAGCCCCCCCCCCACCCTGATATCACTCATTGAGAGTCAAGACTTCAACATATGAGCGAGGTGAGGGGCACAGACATGTACTGTTCTGCAGTGCCCTGGGAAGATGAGTCTAGTCACTAGCTTGTGTGTCGGGGGTGGGGGTGGGGGGTGGGGGGGTATGTGTGTGTGCGCAAGACCTTCCTTCAGCTGTAAGGAACTTTCCTATTGTAAACAGCCCCTGAGCTCCTCTTCCAGTGATGAGGGGTGGCCTGGGACTTATTTTGCACACCCTCAAAGGGGAAGCATCTCGGTATGTGGCTCAGAAAAGAGAAATGAGTCTTGAACCCAGAGCCAGGGCAGGAACAGCTCCTTTTCATGCACGTATGAGCACAGGCAGACCTGGTGCCTCCCTGCTCCCTGCATGTCCTGCAGCCTATTGGGCTTGCTCTGTGACAGTCTGATTTGCTGGCTCCTCATCGTCCTGCTGCTCTGGGAACCTGTAATGTACATTACACTATTCAGTTGTTATGTGCCATTTGAACTCCCGAAGCTGGCTGTCATTCCCATCCCATTTCAGATTCCAGTGTGGTTGTCTAGAGAATCCTCCAAGGTCCCTTGTCTGGGGATGGGCGGCCGCTCTAACTGTGATGGGAAGGATGGAACAGCTAGGACACAAACCATTCCCACAGGGGTTACTACTGTTTATCCCAAGGTATAAAAATACCTGCAATGGGAAAGGGGGCGGGGGGGGGGGGGCTGGAAGCTCAGTCAAGGAGAGAGGGGCCAGCTCCAGCTGACTGCCCCATCTTAATCAAACTGGGCCCTCCTAACATCCAGTCAGTTTCTGCTGGATGTTGGGAGGGCCCAATTTGATGACGACATCATCTTGCTCTCTTGCTATTTGTTCTTCCATTTGTTTTTTTTTTTTTTTTTTTTTTTTTTTTGGTTTTTCAAGACAGGGTTTCTCTGTGTAGCTTTGCGCCTTTCCTGGAACTCACTTGGTAGCCCAGGCTGGCCTCGAACTCACAGAGATCCGACTGCCTCTGCCTCCCGAGTGCTGAGATTAAAGGCGCGCGCCACCACCGCCCGGCTGTTCTTCCATTTGGAAGCCTCACCTGAAGGGGTCCTCCACTCTGCCCAGGGCTCTCATGGGAACCCAACTGGCTACTTAAATGGGCTTTTCTAGTCGGTTCCTGCTGGGTGTTTTGAGCTCCTGATTTGATAATGTTTTACTTTCTATCTACCTATCTATCAATCATCTATCTACCTATCTATCATCTATCTATCTATCTATCTATCTATCTATCTATCTATCTATCTATCTATCTATCATTTATCTACCTATCTATCATCGGTCTACCTATCATCAATCTACCTATCTTTCTCTCTACCTAGGTATCATCTCTCTATTCATCATCTATAATCTATTTATTTATCTTCTAGCTATCTATCATTTATCTATCATCTATCCATCCATCTACCTATATATCATCATCTCTAGTCATCATTTATATATCCATTATCTATCTGTCTATCTATCTATCTATCATCTGCCTATTATCTCTCTCCCTCTCTCTCTCCCTCCTTCCCTCCCTCCTCCCCCCTCTCTTTCTATTTAGTCTTTTACATTGGCTTGTTATCTACTTAATAAACTCAACTCATTCTAAACTGAAAGCAAAGATCATTCTCCAGAAGGTACAGAACAGAGGCCATGATGATGCCCACAGGGAAAGTGGTTTAGGAAGCTAGGTCAGGCTAGCCTTGTAACAGCCCAGATCCAGCAGCCCATTTAACAGATGGGGCGGACTCGGGGTTGACACTGAGTAACTCACATGTTCTCAGCACCATAGTTTTGACAACAGTGTCCCCACCTCCTGAGACCCAGTGTCCAATCCCTCAATGTGATGTCACTCACATAGCCATCCCCTGCTTGTGCTTTCATTCCAGATACTGTCACTTGAGATTTTATTAAGCATTTTCATGACCAAGTTGGGCCAACAAGCCTTGCTTCGCCTTTGGTCCAGTCAGAGCATCAACACCATCACCGCAGCTCACAAGACCAGGCCAACAAGCCTTGCTTCGCCTTTGGTCCTGTCAGAGCATCAACACCATCACCGCAGCTCACAAGACCAGGACCTGGGGCTGGGGCTTGTCTCAGTCTTGGAGCTTGCTGGTGAACACCTCGGCTCTGTCTAGGGGTGGGCCCCGGTTCACAGATGTGTAAGAAGGCTCAGAGGCCCCCAGGGTCTTGGGGACAGCCTCCTGGGTGATCTGTGAGTCATGTGCTGTTTCCCCATCAGAGCTGCCCATGTCCCTGACAGAGAGAGAGAGAGAGAAGCAGGGTTAGGGGAGCCGAGCAAACCTGGACCCCTGCAGCTGCTCAGGGCCTTAACTTAGATAGTACCCTGCCTTTGAGGGTGTAGTCTCAACAAACAGTATGTTTGTAGCCCTTGTGGTGTGTGAGGCCTTGGGAATAAGGGAAATGTCACCCTTCTTGAAATTATGAGGATAGTTTCATTCATGTCTGTGAGCTGGAGCATTGGAGGCCATTGTTCCAGGTTCTCAAAGTGTCTTGATCATCAGGAGAGACAGATCACAGTTAACAGGGATCACACAAAGTGGACAGGTCCAGGTGGAAGGCTTCCTGGAAGAGGGGGCAGATACTCTGATCTTGAAGGAGGGTCATGGGTAGAGAGAGACACATGGGATGAAACAGGAAGGGAGAGAAAGACATAGCCACCCAGCAACTTTTGATGGCTGCTGCCATTTACCATGGGTGCTTTGTTAACTTAAATGCCAGGGGGAGACAATCAGATTTCACTGTCCCTCTCTGGGCCCATTGCTGGCCAGTTTCTGAGGCCCAGTTAATGTCACCTACTGAGACAAGCTTTCCCATGTGCTTCCCCACCCTCACTAGGACCCCTGCCAGTGTCCCAAACCCCTCTGAGTTCCCTCAGTTTGCTGGGGCTGGGATCCATCCTGTGCCATGAGCTTGCTCTTGCTGAACCCTCCTCCAGGAAGCCAGCCTGCTGCTGCTTCAAGCCCTTTCTTTCCCATTGCTTCCAGACTCCCAGTGAGCACACTGCAGGCTCGGGGAGGGAGAGTGCTGATTCACGTCCGGCTCCACCCTCCCCGGCTACTGCTGTCAGAGACCCGGGTTCTAGGCCCAGGCTTTGACCGTGAGATATCCTCCCCACTACGAGGCCTCAGTTTCCCCACCTAAATGGGTGAGTTAAATAACAGCTCCCAGGAACTTCTCTGAGGGCTTCCCAGGGCTAATTCCAGGTGACCTTTACCATTCTGTTGTGCATATTATTGTCACCTTCATTTTCCAGACGGGAAAACCGAGGACCTGGACGCCTTGCTGAGGTCACACAACTCCATCACAGCTAAAGCTTGTCTTTTTTTTTGTGGGATGTTGGGATTGAACCCAGAGCCTCCTACATACTAGACAAGTGCTACACTGAGCTATATACTCCCAGCCCGAGAACTGAGATATAAATGGACCCACTGCCCACAGCCTGGGATGTACCTGAGTCCTTCCCTCCCCTGGTGAATGACCTGACCCTGGAATGCCAGGGTTCTGCTTGCCTTCACCAAGGCCATGGCTGGGAGCCCCTGGTTTCCACTCTCTGCCCTGTCTCAGAGGACCCAGTGTTGAGTCTTTCCTGGGGAACGTGTTGCTCTGTCTCCAGGCTCCGGCCCTCCCCACAGGCAGTACTCACACAAAGCTGAGGAGCTGGCAGTACTCACACAAAGCTGATGATGATGGCTCCGGCAAAGCCCACAAGCAGGAAGAAGGGTAGGGAGCCGAGAATGGAAGTAATGACAATCATGCCTCCGCTCCTCCGGCCTGGCCAGGTGTCGATGGCTGAGTAGGGGGTAGCTGCAGAGGACCACAGCCACTTACTCCCCAGGAAATGCCCCACCCTGGATCTTCTTCCAGGGACAGGAATCCCCTGCCCTGGGTGCCTGGAATCCAGGGCGACCTACATACCCAGGGCAGTAACTGCTCTTCCCAGGCTTTGGCCCTATGGCCTGTCTGTCCCTCAACTCCTTCTGTAGTCTGTGTGTTTCTGTTTACTTCCTCTGCTTGCCTAAAATTAGGTATATACTAACTCAAGACTTCTGGTGGAATAGATGGCATACACATTCTAAACAACACACAGTTGAGCAAAGGGCTCAGAGGGGATGTGGTTCTCGATCTTTCTGGCTAGTGTCACCCTTGGAAACAATGGACAGGTCCTACAACGAGCAAGCGATTTGTGGCACTGTCCCTGGGACAGGTCCCTGGAGATCTGACTCTGAGTTCACACTCCACTCTGGTACCCCAGGTCTAGGGGGTCCCATATGCACACCCCAGAGGCCAACCCTTAGGACAGGCTCCAGAAACCCTGGGCCTGCTGCCGCCACCAGAGTTCCTAGAGGGATTCCACCAAGCTAGCCAGGCAAGGAGGTGGAGGTGCCCACTGTGTGATGGACAGAGGCCAGGCTTAGAGCCAGGACTCAGCTCCAAGGATCTCAAGGTCATATCAGCAAGAACACAATAAATGGGAATGTCACAGGGGGTGTGGCAGGGAAGGAGCATGGGTGGGGGTCACCCGGCAGCACAGACATGCCACATACACCCACATACAACATATAGCAAATACACTATACTTACACACACACTACACTCATTACACACTCATAGATGTATGCCACACACCTCATACCCTACGATCACACACAAACCCCAGACACACACCACACACTCGGACTCACGAGTAATTCAGTCATACCCACAGCCATGTACACTCACACACTCACCCACCCACCAAGGTACCGCACATTCCACCACGTTCCTCACTGGTGTGTGAGTTCAAGCAACCATCTGGAGCACCAGCCTCCCTCATGTGGCCCTAGCCCTGCTGGGGCTGGAGTAGGAGGCAGAAGGTTTCTGTGCTGGAGTGCCATACAGTCACGATCATCTGGTCTAGCTCTGCTGAGCATGGATGTTCCCTGGACCTAAGTCTGTGTGACCCTGCACCCTAATGGCACTAGAGTTGGTGTGAACAGGACCTCAGTTGCTCTGCAGCCTCCTAGCCCTTGCTGCCTGCCTCAGGGGTACAGGGGGCTCTGAGTAAGGAAAGACATGGCTCTTCCTGAGTTCCCCCACTTAGTGCCCAATCCCTGTACTGCCATGGATCCTTGCTATCGTGAGGATCCACAGGACCACCGGTCTCCATATCCAGACAGGTGATCTTGACTCTAGTGCACCCAACCTGGGCCAGTCTCAAGCATGGAAGAGGGAAGGGATGGTTCAGATGAAAATATCTCAAGAAGCATTGTATTAAACAGCACAATGGCCAAGTGCTTGGGGGACTTTTCCCAGGGACAGCCAACCCTCCTCTTGATCAATCCCTGGCCCTGCATTCCTGGATATGTCCTTAAGGAGTATCCCAGAACTGACCTGCATGACCACCACCACTCCCCCCCCCACACACCCCAGCATGCACTTACGCTGGTTGGTACGGATGGGATCCGACCATAGTGTCTGGTCCTGCACCAAGCCTGTGGACATGTTGACTAGGACATATTTGAACCTGGAAGAAGATGGATTAAGAGTGACTTTCCTCTATCCTGGGTGCCCAGCCACAGGAAACAGGAAGGAGGAGAACCATGGGGGGCACACAGGAAGACTTCCAGGAGACAGCTGTGGGTGGAGTCAGGACAACAGAAGGATGCTGGACTTGACCACATATCCCCTCGGCTGCACCTGCTTTGGGAAGCCTTCAGGATTAGGGCTGTTGCTTAGCATTCCTTTGAGAGTACCCCCTTTTATTCCATGTGTCTGTAACACCCTTTCTGGGTATTAATCTATAATCCTCCAAGCAGCTCTGGTCCTTGGGGTCACAAAGGGAATTAGAAAGCTAGCCTGGTAGCATCCATCACCAGCGCCCAGTTCCCTTGGTTCCCTTGGATCAGGGCTGTTTTAGGTGCAAGAATCCCCAAATGAGGGCTATTAATCAGAAGGGAAGACCAAGAGAGATGGTAAGCTCTGTAGCCCACTTAAGCCCCAGTTTAAACAGCGGCTTGGATAGACTGATAATCTGCGATGAGGACCAATTCATCTACAGCCTGTAGCTTAGTGACCCTTAAAATTAAAGCCCCTTTAGGGGCTGGGACTGTAGCTCAGTGGAAGGGCACACGTTCAGAATGTGCGAAGCCATAGCAATACACACACCCTTCAATCAGGCAGTTCGGGAGTTCAAGCCTAGCCTGGGCTATGTGAATGCCTGTCTCAAAACAGAAGAGGGGCTGGGGAGGAGAAAGGCAGGGAAGGAGGGAGAAATAAGGAAAGAAGGAAGGGAAGAGAGGATGTGTTTTGAACTGTGTTTACAGAGCAGGGTGCCTAGCAATGTCCTGTTGGGCCTCTGTGTACCTGCTGCAAACCAGGAAGCCTCCCCTGCCTGACACCTGGTCCCTGTGCCAAAGCTCTAAGAAGTATGGCTTCCCCCATTTGTCCCCTCCCTGGGTCTTCCGTTCTCCCAGGGTCATTTACACTCACCTGTACTCAGTAGCTGCTGACAGGGGTGCGTTGCAGAGGCCCTGGAAGTTGGGGTCCCAAAGACAGGTCCCATTGTTGCCCACCCTGACTAGGTATGCATTCAGGATCTCTGAGGCCTGGTTCACATCTCCAACAGCGTCCAGGCTGGGCAAGTCACCACAAGGGGTCAGGTCAAAGGCCGCAGCTTTGTAGGGGCCCGACCGCCCACCCTGGGTTTGCCGGAAGGTGGTGCTCAGTGGAGTCCCAGCGCTGTCCTGTACAGACACATTCCTGGAGCTGGCTGCAGAGGCAGTGCTGGGAGTCAGGACCCTGGCCACTCCAACTCAGTGACAACCACTCAGTCACCCATCAAACACCCCAAGCCCACGTCTACCCAGGTTCGTTCTGGGCACTAGGATGATTTGTACACACAAGCTCAGTGGTAACAGTGCAGCTGGCCCAGGAGCACTTCACTGTGAGGTGGTGGGTTCATCTCTCACTCACTCTGTCTTCCAATGCCCTGTAACCCCCCAGCTCAACAGACCCCTGCCACCTGCAATTGGCGGCCCTGGATTCTTTCCCCTATAACACAGGAAGGATGAGATAATGCTAAGGTGCATGTAGCTGGACCCATATTGGATCCCACCTTTCTTCTTTACTACAAGGGTGACCTTGGACCTATTACTTGGCATCTGTTGCCTTTGGGCTTCTGTGAGGTGGCAGAAAAAGACCCCCAGGATGCCCACAGATCAGGCCTACTGACAGGATGGAAGGCTGGGAAATGTCAGAAGGCTGTTACTGGGTACCTGGTCCCCAAACCCAGGAGCTTGCATTGAAGGGCTGTGGGCTGGGTCAAGGGGAGCAATCCTGGGGAAAACTCTGAAATGACCTAGGTTCAAATGCCAGTAAGATCAGAATATAACTGTAGGAGCCCTAGAGAGGGGACCCCACCCACCCCTGCCTTGATGCCATGCTCTACGGTAATAACGTGCAAGTTGCTTGCAGACATTGGCAAGGCAGGTACTCAAAAATTGGTGTGTCTCCCCCGCTACCAGCCTGGATGCCAGGACAAGTGCAGGTCTGGGGTCACACTCACAGTAGTGTCAGTGTGTGCATGGGCAGTGATGAGTAAGGGGGTCCTGGACCTTCACAGGCATGCAACGTCCCATCACCCAGTTCCCTCTTCCTCCTCCCTGTGGACTGTCAAGGACCCTTTTATCAGGAAACAGGTTCCTTACCTGAGTCGACCATGGCATAGAGGTAAACCTCGTAAGTGCCGCTGAGTGGCTCTGAGCTATCGAACATGCACAGAGGTTTCTCCAAGGCCACAGTGGTCAGGGTGGGGTTGTTGGTGGCAAAGGTCACACTGGCCAGTTGGGGCTGGAGGTCCACAGCTGGTGAAGGCAATAGGGTGGGAACTGACCTCTGGGCACATCCCTGGGCACAGGTGTATCTGAGCACTTGCTGTATTGTCCTGCACTGGGCTTGGCCTTCCCAGTGGGCCAATCCATGAACTTCTCGCAGAGATAATCACTGCTCCTGTGCCCACCCCGCTGGTCACCCTAGGCAGTCACATCCCCACCCCACCCCAGCTGCCCTCTGTCTCTATAAGTTCTCTATCCTAGGGTCCTTCCCCCTCCACCCCACTCTCTTCACTTGAACCCTCTAAAACCGTATCCGTTTTCCGCCCTCTGGCTCCCCACTGGCCTCCCACGTAGTCCAGTCTTTCAGGAAAAACAGTGAAATCCAGACGTTCAGGGCTCTTCCATATCCACTCTCAACTTCAACCCCTGCAGGCTCCCTCTCACGCCATACCTGCCTCAGCTACAGGGATCAAAAAATCAATCCCAGTATAGACCATCCCTCTCACTCCAGGAACTTGCCCCTCCACCTCCCCCAGCCCAGGGCTTGCCACAGGACTGGGTCTGCTCTCTACAGCCCTTGTAGGGTGTTCTCTGGCAACACCCCTCAGAAGGTTGAGGCCAGCCCATGGGTGGGCGCTGGGATTCCCATCAAAGGAAACACGTAAATGTGAGCTGTTTCTCTTACTACAGCTGCTAACATCTGTGTCCCTGTTGCCGGAATCATAGACCTCCTAAATGAGGTTCCCAGTGCCATTCCATGCCTCCGCTCCTCTCCGACCTCCCTAGACACACCCCGGGGTTCTCATCCCCGGCTTACTCCAGCCACACTGCAGGCATCCGAGGGCCAGCAGGGCCCAGAGCAGGAGCATCGCCCGAGATGAGCCTCAGCAACGCGCTCCAACCTGAGAGCCCACCACACCTTGCCGGATGCAGCCCTGAGCACCTGCCACCAGCAAGGGCACGCCCCACCCCTCCCGAGCGGACCAATCCGAAGCCTCTCAGTGTGATATTTGCATACAGCCTAGCCCTGGGCTCCTCCCACCAGTGCTGTTCTGGGGACCATTAAGTAACTAAGGCTCCCAAGCATCTCTTTGCCTTCTGAAAAGCTCCTACTGCATGCTAAAGCTGAGGTGAGGCTTTCGCAGTGTCGTCTGAGACATTCTCATTTTTGGACCCTCAATTTCTATACTGTAAAGTAGAGACACTCATACTATGTGCCGGATACTGGTAAATTAATCATGGAAAAAATGAAGTCCTGGATGATGGTTCTTTTCTGTTCACAGACCATGCAAGACAGAGGCCCAAGAGAGACTGAGACGGGGCAGGAACTGGTGGGACCAGACCAAGGGCTGCTTCAGATGAACGGAATAGGGTCTTTAACCCCTCGCTGCTTCCTGAGAAGCAATGGACAATAGTGATGGTGGCCTGGGTGCAGCTCAATGGTAGATGCTTGCATGGGCCAAGTAAGACGCTGGGTCGTCGTTCCCCAGCAGAACTGAAGTGGTGTGTGTGTGTGGGGAGAAACCCCGTTCTTTTCTGTGGCGCCTCTTCTGCTGATGGGATCCTTCAAGATGAAGCTGAACATCTTCCCAGCCACTGCTGTCAAAACTCACTGATGAATGCAAATGTCACTGGTCCTATGAGAAACACATGGTCCCAGAAATAGGGCTGACTCCCTGGGTATGCCCTAGGTGAAGAGCAGAAGGGTTATGGACTTCCAGTCTGTGGTGGGAACAACAAACAAGGTTTTCCTATGAAGCAAGGTGTCTTGACCCATGGCAGAGAGCCCCTGCTGTTGAGGAAGGGGCATTCTTGTTACGAACCAAGGAGAATGGGAGAGAGGAAGTGCAAGTGTGTTCACAGATTCCTTGTAGAAGGGCGCCTATCAGAATGTTCCTGTAAGAGAGGTGGATATTTTTGGACTGACAGATACTACAGTACTTCTGCTGTTGGGGTCCAAGGGAGCTGGCAAAATCTGCCAGCTTCTGATCTCTCTAAAGAAGATGATGTCTGCCAGGCAGTGGTGGTGCATGTCTTTAATCCCAGCACTCGGGGGGCAGAGGCCGGTGGATCTCTGTGAGTTCAAGGCCAACCTGGGCTACAGAGTGAGTTCCAGGAAAGGCTCCAAAGCTACACAGAGAAACTCTGTCTCAAAAAAACAAAACAAACAAACAAACAAACAAACAAAAAAGATGATGATGATGATGATGATGTCCACGAGTGTATTGTCAGGAAGCTCTTAAACAAAGAGGGTAAGAGACCCAGAACCAAAGCACCCAGACTCAGCATCTTGTCACCCCACAGAGCCTGCAACACAAACACCACCGTATTGCTCTGAAGAAACAACACACTAAGGCAAACAAGGAGGAGGCTGCAGAATGTGCTGAACTCTCAGCCACGAGAATGAAGGAAATCAAAGAAAAACCGCCAGGAACAGATTGCCAGGAGACGTGGGCTGTCCTCGCTGAGAGCTTCTATTTCTGAGTCTGAGTCCAGCGAAGTAAGTCTTTAAAGGAACAAATAAATGATCAGGCCTTGAAAAAAGAAATGAGAGAGATGGGGGCTCTTCCCCTAAATTAACCAGTTCCCTCCAGTGTCGGGAATCTATGCACATCTCCAAATGCATCTTGAATCAATTTTATACGCAAGACATACGACTCAGCAAGCATGGGTGGGGGAACCAGTAAATGAATAAAGTGTGGAATGGATAATATGATCATCTGTGTGGAAACTGGATCTGGGTGAATTTGCAAGCAGTTATCTCAGGCCCTTCTTGGAGAGAACTCTAAGAACACGATTCCTGAGGTAGAACTCAGGACCTTCCCGGTAAGTTGCTGCTAGAGGAGAGGGGAGGGGAGGGGAGGGGAGGGGAGGGCAAATTCTATGGTGTCCTAGCTCTGATGTTGTGCTTGCTAGAGGATGGGGAAGCTTTGGGATGTGGACAGAACTCTACAGCAAAACAGGACAAGGAAGATGGGCCCATTGGTGAAGTACTTGCCTTGTACGCATGAGGACCTAAGTTCAAATCCCCAGCCCCCATGAGAAAAGCCAGGTACAGTGGCACGGCTAGAACTCTGGTGCTGAGGAGGCAGAGACAGAGGATCCCTGGGATTCTCTGGCCAGCTAGTCTTGTCAAGACGAGCCCCAAGTTCCATGAGAGACTCTGTCTCAAAAAAAAAAAAAATGTATGGTATATAGAGGAAGACACCTGATGCTAACCTCTGGCCTGCACATGCAAACACACATGCACACACAAACACACATGCACATGCAAACATACATGCCCACACAAACACACATGCACATGCAAACACCACACATGTATACATAAACACATAAACACACATGCACATACATATGTACATGCAAATGTACACGCAAACATGCATGCACATGCTTACAACACATACAAATAAGTAAGTAAAATGTTGGGGTTTTTTTTGTTTTGTTTTTGTTTTTTTGTTTTGTTTTGTTTTTTACCTTTTCTGGCCACTTAAGAGAGCCTAGTTGCTTTACCACTCCTACCCTCCAACCCTCACCCCTGCAAAGAGCAAAGTTAAAATGCTTACATTCTAAAATCCACTTCCTGCAAAGGTCCCCAGGCCCCTTGGAGAGGGGCTGACTCCAGGCTGGGATGGGCAAGGCAGGAGGAGCTGGACTTTTGAAATCCATTAAAGAATGGTGAACACATGTCAAAGGAGCCAGTCCAGACCGGCTTGAAGAGGCCCCCCTCACCCGATCGGAGGAACTTTGCTCACAAAATAAACAAAGGTGGTAATATTTAACATTTAGCCCATTTGATAACATACAGGTCCGTGAGTCAATACTGATTCTGTACAGAGATCTGGAGAGACTAGCTGAAGGAAGAGTGACCTAGCCAGGCATCACTGGACAGACAGACAGCAAGTGCTTCCTGGACTTACAGCAGTGGGGACTCAAAGGCATCTACGCAGTGTCCTGTCCCCAAAGTTTAACCTGGGTCTACTCGCCAGGAAGCAAACAGATGAGAACTGAGGGCCTGTCTGCCAAACAGCTGGTCACTTTGCAAATGTCAGTGTCCTAAAAGAGAAAAGACAGAGTCAAACAGAAGCTGAGACCTGGGGCCGACTGAGGGGACTAAGGGTATGTAGTGCCTACAGACACCAGGGCAACTTCTGGCTTAGTCATCTAAAAACAATCAACCCATCCAGGCACCGTGGCACATGCCTGTAGTCCCAGCACTTAGGCGGAGAAGTCAGGAGAATCTCAAGTTTGAGGCCAGCCTGAGCTGCCCAAGTCTCCAAATCCAAAGACTGGAACTGCAGCTTAGTGGTAGAGCACTTTGCCTAGCATGCACAAGGCCCAGGTTCTGCCTCTAGTGCACACAGAGGCACACACAGAGGAATGCATAGTGCACACTATCATAACCTCTGTGATAGGGGAAACTGTTAGCCTGTGATGCATATTAAATAACAATAGCTCATGGAAGTTACATTTCTGAGCCAGTGAGATGGCTCAGGTGCTTGATGCCAAGCCTGACAACCCAGGGTCTAATTCCTGGGATCTATGTCCGCCAGGGATGCAGATATTCCTGATTGATTGATTGGTTGGTTGGTTGGTTGGTTGGTTTTGTTTTGTTTTGTTTTGTTTTTCCGGAGCTGAGGACCAAACCCAGGGTCTTGCGCTTGCTAGGCAAGCGCTCTCTACCACTGAGCTAAATCCCCAACCCCAGTTTTTTTTAGACAGGGTTTCTCTATGTATCCCTGGCTATCCTGGAACTTCCTCTGTAGACTAGGCTGGCCTCAAACTCACAGAAATCAGCCTCATAGTGCTGGGACTAAAGTAGGCATGTGTCACCACCCATCTGGCAGGATCCAGATATTCTAAATTGAGGTTTGTGTCCTTTACTTTGTACGACGATCGGAACAGTGGACCCTAAGAAACTGGAATTCCCCCCAGGAATCTTACTTTGAGAAGAGAAAGCTCAAACCCAGGGCTGACCAGAGGGGACGTTTCTCTCCGGGACAGAAGTTCGTAACTTGTCAGCCTACCTTATAGAGGAGACAATGATGGGTCAATGGTGCGTGGGACCATAGCTTGAGCCAGACCGCTTAGCTCTGTATAGTACTGGCCTCCACTGAAACTCTACCTGGAGCCACTGAATCTATGTCTCTCTCTACCCACTGCAGTCATGCTGAATAGATCTCATTGTCTGCCTTTCGATATTAATTTGGCAGCTTTAAATGCCTTATCAGTAACAGGGGTTTGAATCTGACTTGTTGGGGCACAGTCTGTGTCCCCAAATCCGGGAATAGTAAAAGGAGAGAATTGCCTCCCACAGCACTACTGTGCCACCTACATACACCTCTTACCCCCAATAAACAAACAAAAATGGGGAGGGGGGGTATAAGACAGGGTCTCACTATGTAACTCTGCCAGGCCTGGAACTCGTGATGTGGACCAGGTTGGCCTCGAACTCAGAGAGACCCACCTGCTTTTGCCTCCGAACTGCTGAGATTAAAGGTGTGCTCCACCAAGCCTAGCATGGAAAAACAGTTTCTCTGTATTCTTTTAAAGAAGTTCCATTTTTATAGTGATGATGAGGTTATGCAAAAAGCACCACACGCTGCGGGGGGGGGGGGGGGGGGGGCAAAGGTGAAGTGGCCTGAGTCAGACCGGATGAGAGAGAGGAGAAAGGAAGTGTGGCGCCTTGTCAACATTTGTAAATGGATATGAGTTTGCACACCGCTGTTCTTGCAGCATTCCTAAAGGCTTGACATGTTCAGTGTAAAAATGCTGTGGGGGAAGGGCTGGGCACTTGCCTAACGTGCGTGAGATTCTGGGTTTACTTCCAGCAATATAAAAAAGGGGGGAGGGTGCTGGGGGAAGTTCCATGTTCTCACCTCTCTGGGGATCAGATTCCCTCTGTGAATGGGGTGGGGTTGGACACCGCTGGGCTCTGACCCGCAGGGTAGACAGCTTATCCTGGGCACCTAGAAAGTCCCAGCGATAGGCGCTCCAGAGCAGGGGTGGGGTTTCCTGCAAGGGTTTTTAGGGGCTGGCATTTCTGGCTTTGTGACTGTTTGTGCACCTGGGGTTTCATGGGGGTAGGGGGTCCTCAGGGTTGATCTCACTGGTGAGAGAGAGCAGGCCTGTAATTCCTTGACTTCTCCAGGCC